AGGAATATGATAAATACATCTTCATATTTTAGTACCTATTTATATTGGAAATACAACCTCTTATAAAGCCATACTCGTTCGTCAACAGTTATAATCTGAGCAGTAAATCTTATTCGGAGCAATTATTTTTAATAACACTTATCTTTCGTAAGTGCTGCGTATTTATGATTTCCGTCTACAGTTTAAAATTACTTTTGTATTTGGAACTGTCGGTGTGTTATTTTTCTAAGTATTTATGGTGTTATATCTGCATGATAAATGTCATAATATGACATTTATCATGTATTATGAATATTGTTTTACTTATTACTTATTTGTTTATTTAAATGAAATGACTTAGGTAAAGAGTACATATATTTTACAAAAATCATCTAATCGACATATTTATACAATTTTCATGCAGTCCATCGCTATATATGGAGTATATAAATTAAGTACCTATAATTCATATTCACAATGATTTTATATTGTATTCTGCCCTTTTTAACGTCCCACTGCTGGGCACGGGCCTCCCTTCAGTACGAGGGGAATCAGGCCATAGTGCACCACGCTGGCCAAGTGCGCGTTGGCAGATTTCACATGTCTTTTGAAAACTTGCTAGGTTCTCTCAGACTCAGAGACTCGCACATGAAAATATCAGAGGTGCGAGACCCAGGATTTGAACTCGCTTCACTCGGTTTCCCAAGCGAGCGCGTTTATATTGGGCTACCACTCTGCCTTAAGTTCTCATCATTCATAATAATTATATATATGTATATAAATACACACTTAGCCTTACTTTGCTTGGGTACGTTCCTAGGTATATTATAGTAGCCTAAGAATTACTTCAGGTCCAAGCCTATTAGTAAATTTCATGAAAGTCCATCAAGTAACAAACACACGCATATACATCCAAACTTTCGCATTTATTATAATATCCACGAATTCATAACATTAATAAGGATTTTAATACGCTATGAAGCAATTTCACATAATAATAATATCATAACTGAAAAAAGCTAAAACAATGAGATACAAAAATACAGTGAGCAAAAACAGCGGTGGAAGTCGAAATTACTGAAATGAACACAGAAATTCACACTTGTTTCCAACCAATGAGTAAACACTATAAATTCAACCGCAATGGGGGCTGAGCGAAATCTATATTTATGTACGGAAAAAAATAACCAAAAGCACAAAATTCCCTAATTACTCGTTCGGAACACGTACAGGGAAAGTATAGACCGTTATTTTTACAACAACCATTGCAATTTGACAGTTATTAGCGCATTAAGACCGATTCTCGTACAGACAACCGGCCATTTTGTGCACGATGTGAATACACAAAATGGCGGCTAATAAACAGTTTAACATTAACCTTGCTGACTATACTCATGGTTGCTTTGTATTAGAGGGTATTAATATAATTGAAGATATTCAAAATATTTTACTATTTCACTTGTCAAATGTCCAGTACATACAAAGAAAATAGGGCATAAAATGGATAGACGGACACACAATCGTTTCAATGTAGAACCCAAAATATGACGTTAAAAAATCGCCTAGAAATATTATAGTAGTATTTTATCGAAAAACTCTTGCAAAATACTTGTGAAACAATCATCATTCAATATTAACGAGGCGTAAGCTGTAAGAATTGTTGTTATGTATCTAATCTCTTAGTTTGATTATCGGAAAAAAAATGTGTAAGAATGGCTAGAAATGCCAAACCATTGTTTCATTCAATTAATAAATGCCGCTTAACTCAGCGTTACTCGGATGAAGAGATTTAGGAGTGGTTTTTACTCTTCTATCTCAGAAGGAGGATTATATTACTGTTTATGTATTTGTCTATTGTTACATCAAAGTGCCTTGAAGGTCTAATGGCTAGAATATATGGCCGCAGATCCGGAGGTTCCGAGTTCGAGTCCCGGGTCGGGCCAAGTTTAATTAATGAATATTTTGCTAAGGATATCTCAGTAAAAGCCTGAATTTGACAGCTTGGTGATGTTAAACCCCCCATGTCTCGGAGAGCACGTAAAACTATTGATCGGTCCTGTACCTTAGCTTTCACTAGTCATGTCGATGTATCATCCCTGCCGACTCTGATAGTAAAAAGGAACAGAGAGTGCACTTGTGTCTGCACGGACACTTGTGCACTGTGCAATTAGCCAGTCTCAGTAAGATTGACCGCAGTGGCCGAAATCAATTAATAGGACATGATTTCATCATTTTTCATATATAAAAGGAAGTCGCCGATGAGCGTCTTATCTGTACATATATAATCTACTACTGAACCAATTTAGATGCAATATATGATGCTATCATTTACATTTCTTGTTTAAGATTGCCTTTTTTGGATGTGTTCAATATTATAGTCTGCACCAAATTGTTATATCAACATTAACAACCATTTAGTAACTTTATGTTAGCTTAGAATAAATAAACGATTAGATCAATTGATTTATAATATATACATACATTGTTATCAACTTAAGTCTCATGTTTTTCCTATATAAATAAACATTTATATAGGAAAAATATTATGATTTTGTAAGTCTTGTGTAATGTTCTTTTGTTATCTGATAACTTGAAATGAAAAATGAAATAATGTGTTTAACAATGGTTCTACATTTCAAAGTACGTTTCTTTATGATTCCATTCGTTCTTTTTTTAATTTCTCGCTTTCCGCTTGTCTAAATTATATTATTTTAAGTATATTTTCTTGATAATAATATTTTAAAGGTTATTTTGTATATAAACATTTTTCCATACATTTGTTCCCCTTCTCAAAATTAATTATTTACGAACTTCCTTTCCCAGATCTTAAGATATCTTCATATCTTTATTTGAAATCAGCTAAAACATAACAATTTCAATCTAGTACCTACAAATAATTTTAACATTTATAAAAAACTTACCTTCTTTTAATTCGGGTGCATCCCTAGTGATGGATGATTTTGAAACACATTGAGAACAGACTTACATAAAAAAGTTTTTTGTATTTGGGTCAGGGCAGCCATATTATTCTATTTAATCTTCGCGGACATACGGAGAATAACTCGCGAAATTTTCACGATTATATGATAATGCTACTAATATTGGAACAAGACTAGTATCTATTGGTATGTTCGCTGTTAGTATGTTTTCAACCCTTTTTGATTTCCCAGTGCTGGGTGTGGGCCTCCCTTCATTACGAGGGGGAACAGGCCATAGCCCACCACGCTGACCAAGTGCGGGTTGGCGGACTTCACATGTATTTCGAAAACTTGCTGTGTTCATTCAGACATGCAGGTTTCCTCACGATGTACCTCCTGACTTTACAGTAAGACAAGTAACGACAACATGAATATGTTGGAAATGATTCGCACATAAAAATATCAGAGGTGCAAGACCCGGGATTTCAACCCGCTTCACTCATTTTCTTAAGCAAGCACGTTACCGCTGGGCTACCACTGCCTTAGTACATTATGATAAATATATAATACATTTTTTGTACTGTACTATTAAGTCTAACTTTAGTTTTTCGTAGTATGAAATAAGTTCTTATTTCAATTTCTGCTAAGATGCATTTTGTGTAACGTCAAGTTACGTGGGCACTTTTATTCTTTATGACAGTACTGTTTTTGTCAGATAGCTTTTTGCTGAGTTTTGTTTAAAATGTAATATTTTTTTGAAGAAGTTAAAGCTTCTAGGTTACGTAAAAACTAAAAGTGTTATCGGTAAGTCTTTGGTGAGGTAAAAAAAAGAAGCCATGAGGACTGCCGATAGTTTATAATATTTATTTTTTTATTTATTTGTTGAAATTTCAATATAGGTATATGTAGCAAGAATATATTGTTTATTATGCAAATTAATTATTTGATTTTAAATTATAATCTGTAAATTAAAACTTTTTACATTTATCTGGTTTTGACATCTATCGACACTCTGAGTGTTATCGTTAACACGTCACGTGACCATGTCGATGATGACTTACATGAATTTACCCCCCATCCAAACCTGCGTATAGAAGTTTTCACTTCAAAAATATAACAAGATCGTCGCAGTAAAATCCCAATGAAAGTGTCTATTTCTTCAAAGTTAGTGGATCTATTCCCATATTTCGCTATTTGTATTAATATCTTTCGTTGGAAAAAAAATTAAATGAAGAAACTTGTAAAAGAAATTGCGAAAATACGTTTTATTGCGCCTTATTACAACTTCATGAAAAAGTTCTCTTTTGACATGAAGCTGTTTACTCATACTAATCTAAACATAGTATAAAACAAAGCCGCTTCCGCTGTTTCTACGCATAGATCTTTTAAACTAAGCAACGGATTTTAATGCAGGTTTCAGAAATAGATAGAGTGATTAAAGAGGAAGTTTTATATGTACAATACATTCATAATACCTATAGTACAGAAAAGCCGAGAAATTCAAAGATTTGTATTGGACGCTCACATTGCCTATCTAGGGACGAACACGAGCGAAGCGAGGGTGGGTCGCTTGTATTATAAATATGAAAGTTTCTGTGTGTCTGTTTGTCATCTTTTTACATTAAAGCCGCTGAACAGATTTCGATTAAATACTACACATATGGATTGCATCATGCATAATTTATATAATATCTTTTAGTATTTTTATTTTGCGTAAATCAAGTTTTTAGGTCTCACAAAATAGATTTTGAACTCTTTTCATTGTTCTCTAACGAGAACATTGTTTCTGTGTGCATTAGTACTAACCGTATTTTGTCTTAATAAGTGAAAATTGAATACACTACAATCTGTGATGCATGCAAAAGGTTTCGGACCTTTTACTAAACCATATATATGCCTTCTATTGTCAGCACATATACACGTAACTAACTCACGTCCAAAGAACAAATTGTCTTAATTTTTTTATAAAGAAAGTCCACAAACTAATAATATTGTCCTCCAAACTGGTTTCTGCCACAGCAGCCAATTTCATTGAGACTAGCCATCTGCGTAAGTTATTATAGTGCTGCACAAGTGTGCGAGCAATCACAAGTGCACTCTCTACATATTTCTGTCACTCTCATACACCGGTGGGACGACTGCTACGCTGCTAGACAACTGCTGTGGTGTGACCAGGTTAAGGCACAAGACCGCCATCTTTACGTGCTCTCCGAGGCACGGGGGTAACAAAATGCCATTTTCCCAACTGCGAGCTGTTCCTGAGAATTTCTTGACAGACATACTCAAAACTGAACTTAGCAAGACCCTGGACTCGAACCCAGGACCTCTAGATCTGTGGCTATACATGTTAGCCGCTAAAAAACGGAGGCAGTAAATATACAGAAAAGCAATTCTGTTTACTCCATTTATGAGAATTTACAACCCTTTATAGTCAATAAATAACCTTCATTTATTTACTTACGTATTTTTTCTTGTCAAGTCTACTAACCAGATTATTTTATAACGATTTTTGGTCAATTTTCATTAACGTTCTCATAAATATCCTATAGGAAAAGAAACAATGATTCATTCATAAACACGTAAATTTCTTTATTGTAATAAAATATAGAAATGAAGGTAAAGTACGCTTCAGCCTGAAAGTGTCATAAGGACGTCCGGTGTCAAGGGTCCGGAAGCATATACAAAACACATGGATTCGCTTCGATACATGTTTAGTCTATAAGATATGAGATTCTAAACGGAAAATAAATCATAAGGTTATTTATATAAGATCTAAAAATTAGTAATATATTGAATTCGTAACCAGATCATCTTCAATAATAAAGCAAATTATTTAACTAACTATCAGACTCAGACGTTGTCTTGCTACAAATCGTGCTACAAATTCGTCAATAAAATCTGGATTCTAACAACAGTGTCACCTACCAGGTTAAACTACAATAAATTCCGAACAAGAGCGAGTCGGACTCGCCCACCGAAGGTACAAATTTGTAGGAAATCTGTATAACTTTAATTTTTAACTTCTATTTTTTTTTTTGGAAATTGGCTTTTATTTGTGCTGTAAGACCTTGCTTTTTGCCAAATTTCATGGTTCTAGGTCAACGGGAACTACCATATAGGTTTTCGACCTAAAACCTATAGAGGGTACTTCCGGTTGACCATTGTCAATTTTGGTTAAAAGCAACGTCTTACAGCACAAGTAAATTCCGAAAAATGAGAAAAGTTAATAATTAAGGTAAATTTTGGTACTTATAAGTTTTCGCGAAAATCTAAATTTTCCCATATCTTTTTACCGTGTTGACTCAGGACCTTGATTTTTATACACCTAATAGGGACTATAGATCTTAGTATCTGGTATAAATTCAACTAGCTAGGTCCACCCGTTCCTTAGAAAATCAGTGGTGACACACGAACAGACGGACAAGAGAGTGATCTTATAAGGGTTCCTTTTTTACCTTTTGAGGTACGGAACCCTAAAAAGGTTAATATTTATTTCAAAATTCATTAAAATACTAAAAATAATTAATATTATTAAGAAAAAACCTCTCAGACTAAGTGTGTCGTAGAACTATTCATGAAACCAAAAAATAATATTATATAACTAGCGACTCAGCCTCGCTTCGCTCGGGTTCGCTTCTGGAAGAACAAAAACAAATCTATCTCTCGGAAACCATATATTTTTCTGGGATAAAAAGTAGCCTATATGTTATTCCAGACTATAATCCAGACTATTTATATATATTTACATTATGGCAGAATCGAGAATAATAATTTTGATTTTGACAATTTTTTTATTGCGAGCTTCATCTATATAGTTTTCTCATTTGAGTCTGAATTTTGAAGTCAATTAAAACGTGACAGGTGGGAAAAAAAATATTTTTATTTTATTTTTTATCGCAAAAATGGTAAATAAGTTAACAACCCATCTGATAACGGTAATAGCTTTCTACGCACGCTTGTAGCTGCAGGGGCATCACTCAATTATCAATAGAATGATAAATGAAGGTTGGTTGGACTTTAGTCACTGTATGACACACAGGAGTATAGCTATAATTGCTTCTTTACATCAATATTAATCGAACTACTAATATTAATGTGAAAGTTTGTATATGTGTATGTTTGTTAATTTTTTACTGGAGTAACTCATATGCTACTGTAAGTTAAAATAAATATAAATTAATATGTTGGGACGTTAATACATAGCACCATCTTGTTCCATGGCAAGCTACGAGACTTGTGTTATGGATACCAGATACTTGACTGGAGTTCAAACATTCGTGCTCATCACACAAATGAATGCCTCCAGCGCTGACACAGCAAATAGGGTCACTACAAACTGAGCCAAACGTGTCGTCGCAAGTTATAGGGTTTCTTAAGCGAAGCAAGGGTAAGTCGCTTGTGTAAAATATATTGAGGTTAGTAGGTACTTCCCCGGTTGATCCATTCCATTCACGCTTATTCTAACAAAACCGTATATTTTTATTTGTTTTCTCTTATTTTGTTTTATTTATTGTTTTTTTTTCTATTCTAGATTCTAGAAAAACCAAACGACACGTTTGGCTCAGTTTGTAGTGACCCTACTTGTTGCGTTATTTATTTGCTAATAAAATAAGAGCTATGATATAAAGTGAAGATGACTTCAGCTTTAATTTAAATTTATTAGTCACAAGCAAACTAGCCTCAAAAGATGGACTACTTAAATCAGGCCTGAACTCTGGGATAAAAGTATGCAATAGAGAAGCAATAAATTAATATATTTTAACAATCGCTGTAGATCAGTATTTTTACTGGTGTTACTTATTTCGTCATAGTTGTAGGTTCAATCCCATGTGAGGTAAAAGCTAAAAGTATGAATATGATTTATGATTTTATTTTAGGTTATGAAATTTTACACAAGAGCAAATCGACTATTTAATAGTATTGTTATTATTTAGTGTCTTCTCTGCAAGGAGAATATTATATACCTACTCGTAAAAACAAGTGAGCAAGAAAGCATTGAAGCAAGTAATTTATTTCCTATTTATTGTACCAAAATATTCAAATGTGAATAAGAAAGACTGATTAATTATAGGCAAAAATTTTGAACTGAACCTCTAAAAACAGATAACTTAATATTATAGACATCACTCAATATGTAAATAATAATTATACTTTAAAATTAAAATAATTATTGAATCCTAATATTATAAATGTGAAAGTTTGTGAGGATGGATGGATGGACGTTTGTTACTCTTTCTGAAACGGATCTGTATGAAATTTGGCACAGAGATAGATTATAGTCTGGTATAAAACATAGGTTACTTTTTATCTTATTAAATATACGGTTCCCGTGGGATAGATTTTTTATATAGGGACGAACCCAAAGCGAAGCGAGGTTAAGTCGCTAGTTACTAATATGGCAGCAAAATTTACAATAAAAAACTATAACTATATGTAGAAGATATAAAATTGAATTGTACAAATTTAACAAGAATCTTGTACTAGTTTAGTAAAATTTAAAAGAGAAAATTTCTCAAAGAAGAGTACAATAACAGTTTTAAAAATGACGAAAAGTTTACGTTCTTCCATATTGCATAACGCGAGCGTTCATTCGCATTGAAACAATGTACTTGAAGTTGAAATCCCTTCTAAGTGAAGGATAAATTCTTAAGGCCGCGCCTAGCAAGTTTTATATGGTTTAAGGTTGACATGATTATTCAAGAACTAGCGACTGACCCTCGCTTCGCTCGGTTTCCCCATACAGAATTTCATCCCCATTTTCATCCCCATTAAGGGATGATTTCCGGGATAAATAGTATCCTATGTTCCGAGGGTCTCAAACTATCTTCTTACCAATCTAGATACTCATCTAGATCGGTTAAGTAGATCCAGAGTTTACCCGCTACAACCTGACAAACTACCTCTTTATAATATTAGTATAGATCACTAGTAAGTAGCTAGAAATCTTTTACGTATATAAAAAAGATACTTATTTAGATATATAATATAGATAAGATAATTATTATATTATGAATATATTAAAGCTTAGTATGGAATAGATAGACTATATGTTATAAGCTCATAGCCTTCCTCAATAAACAGGCTATAAACGCAAAAAGAATATTTCAAATCAGATATGTAGTTCTTGAGATTAGCGCGTTCAAACAAACAAACTCCACCTCTTTAAAATAATAAGTATATAATATGAAATACTAGAGATTAACTCTCGCTTCAATGATGCGGAAAAGAGCCGTTCACACTGAAATGGCTGGCCGGATTTGGAAGTAAATAAGTACATAAACATACTGACCTGGAGGTTGCTCCAGTTCAAAGTTTGAGTCCATCTATTAAGATGGACTGTAAGTAATAAAAATGTCCAAATGATGACACTACCTATGAATAATTTTGTATATCTGTATAATTATTATGAATCTGAAAGTTTGTGAGTATGGATGTTTGTTACTCTTTCACTCCAGAACCGCTAGACGGATCTAGATGAAATTGGGCACAGAGATAGATTATACTCTGGAATAATACATAAGCTACATTTTATCCCGGAAAAATATACGTTTCCCGTGGAATAGGTTTGTTTTTGTTTTGTTGTGTGCTAGAGGTAAACTTGCGCCAAGCGAGGGTGAGCTGCTAGTATATTATAATTATAAAAGGTATTTAGGATAAGCAGTTAGTTTGTAATAATTAATAAAATGTAGGTAATACGTTGGTCGTACGACCACAAAGGCTTCAGACAAACTGTTTAGAATATTTATTCTATTAGTCAAATTTTGATATATATATATATATATATATATATATATATATATATATATATATATATATATATATATATATATATATATAACTGCCAGTTAATTTAACTGTCGGTTAGCTTAACTGTCGGTTAGCTTAACTGTCAGTTATCTTAACTGTCGGTTAGATTAACTATCGGTTAGCATAACTGCCGGTTAATTTAACTGTCAGTTATCTCAACTGTCAGTTAGCGTAACTGTCAGTTAGTTTAACTGACAGTTGGCGTAACTGTCAGTAACCTTAACCGTTAGTTAGCATAACCGTTAGTTAGCTTAACTGTCGGTTAGCTTAACTATCGGTTAGCATATCTGCCAGTTATCATATAGTATAGTGTCAGTGCCAGTGACAGTTAAGCTAACCGACAGTTAAATTAACCGGCAGTTATGCTAACCGATAGTTAAGCTAACCGACAGTTAAGCTAACAAACGGTTAAGCTAACCGACAGTTAAGATAACTGACAGTTAAGCTAACCAGCTAACCGACAGTTAAGATAACTGACAGTATATATATACATGTAATAGCCTAGAAGAAAAAATGGAATATAATTGTAATAATCTAAA